ATTACCTTACTGATTCGATAGGCTTAGATTTTATTTGCTTGTGGATCCTTTTCTATTGGTATAACAACTGGTGTTCGAGCGGTTTTCAATTGAGTGCCAAAACTACTAAGGCAATTACTTTGGTTTGGTTTTGGTTTTTCGATACTCAATTGAAAACCGCCGTACTCCTAATCGGCTTTACCAATTAAACAAAGATGATCATAAATGATGATTCTCTATATTCTCATCACCTGTCTACTTAACAGCGTATAAACAGTGTGAGGAGAAACTAGACCTTCATCACTCGTCATTAATCCGCCACTCTTAAATTGATTACCTGTCTGTAAGTCCCATCCAACAGTGTGTCGAGGTTCGCAAGTGGTGCCGGGGTCTTGTCCTTGAATCTTGTCAACAATCTTCTCTGGATTGCTCGAAACTGTTGAGCCCGCTGTGTTAACAGCTCGCGATATTTTGCCTGGTTACGACGTTGCTGTGAATAACAAACGTGCAACATGCGTGTTATTTGATTATCACCTGCCCCACACGTCCACACACGTACATGACTACAAAATGTCTCCACAAATAAGAACCTGCTTGATGATGCTCGGCTGAACAGGTTCTTATATTTTTGGGTATTAAAATGGCAAATTTCTGCCAGCAGGTTCTCAAACAACCGGATATTACTGTAGTCACAATTTCAACTGAAAGAGAAACGAAAAAGGAAAACATTTACCTCAAAGTGTGCATCTATGAGTTCGTAATACTCCTGGAGCGGTAACGGGCCCATGAAAGAAGCACGGAACTGAACAGACTCCTACAAAGAAATTCAAACAAAGTCATTAAAACCAGTCGCAAATCTTTGTAAAGTTCCCGACCATTTTCCGACTCTTATTGTCTAACAAAAAAATGGTACGAGTGTTTCCGAGTACTGCGAACGTTTGGGATGTGTCAAATTAAATAACTAAGCTTCTGTAATTCAAACACGGCGTACCACTATATGGATCGCAAATCTTCGTAAAGTTCCCGAAAACTTTTCGATTGTTATGTCTATATGTCTATTCTTATGTCTATATGTTTCATAGATCATATGTAAAAGTGTTTCATCCACACCTTCAGTTCCAAACCGGCATGTCTGTAAATAGTGTCAATTAATAAAATCTGAATCTAAAATCTGAATCTGAATCTTATTATCTAATAATGAAATGTCACGAGTGTTTCCGAGTACATGAACTGCGAACGTTTGGGACGAGTCAAATTAAATAGAGCACCTTCTCGAACTACAACTGCGAGTTCATTCTGACCCAAAAGAGGTTCGACCCAACTAAAAAAACATTTCTCTTGTGACTAAAATCATTACAAAACAACTTTCAGAGGTTGACTATAACAAGAAAAGATGCAGCCGTTGAAATTTCCGTTCAAGAACAATTACGCATCCATCTAATCAATAAAAATTCTTCATGGGAGCAGTTGAAGTTTTAACTACACCTTGTTTTTCTTGAAGTGCGTGTCTAGCCGCTTGCAAAGCTCGTGCAGAATGAGCCACATTCCCTGAAACACATCACACTGGATTCTGTATCTCTCTGTGGAGCAAAGAAACAAATCGAATATTTAACAATTATTCAAAGAGCGGGCGTTAGATAAGAGAAGGTAGATAGCCAACGAGGCCCGTAGGGCCTCGTTGGCTATAACCATCTCGTATCCAACAAGCGCGAGTACAATGGCCGTTTCTGAGTTGTCCTTTGCCTCTGTAGAAAAAAGAGTCTCTGAGCGAAACAGATCATATGTAAAAGTGTTTCATCCACACCTTCAGTTCCAAACCGGCAAGTCAAACTCATTTACATGAAAAAGTTTTTCATAAGGACTAGTTTTGAAATTGAGACAAAAGGCAAACTCGGAAATGGCCAAATACATTGTGCAATTTTTTCAACGAGTGAGTCTTGTCACATGGAAGTACGAAGTGTTCCAGCAGACAGAGAAGAATGGAGGTGCTCTGTAGTAGATTGAGGCCTTATGTGACACCTATTCACGAAAGAGATAGGTGACGGTGAGGGGATAGGAGTCTTGTCACACGGTTAGGAATTGTTAGATATCAAGTCGGAGTACACATACGTGATGTTTTTGAAGCGAGGATAGTGACAACCGGTCCAGAAAAGTACTGGATACCAACTGCTGCCATTGGAATTACAGCATCGTTTACCATATCTACAGGAATAAAAACAAATGATGGATGAAAATGGTGACCAACATGTAGATAAAGGAGGCAATTTCTTGAAGGGAGGCCTTGTTCATCAAGATTTACCCAAGGACAACCCGCGAGCAAGCTCTCTCATTTTGCAGAATAGCACAGGGCACCCAACCCGAACTTCAAACCCGGGCTTAATATTTATGAGATTGCCCATATATATGGGTTATTGACCAAGCTTGTTCAGTCAAGATGACTGAATATTGACGCAAAAAAAAGAATGAGGCCAATATCCAGCCATCCTAACCGAAAAAGCTTGGTCAATAAAAAATTTACTGAGGAAAAACAACACTTTATTCTTGTGGGAACAGCGGGTACTCCCGAGCGAGCAAGATAGAGCCATCTTGCCCGCTCAGGTAAGCCAATCACAGCACAGGATTCCGTTCACTTTTCCCGCTCAAGGAGCTAGCCATATAATACTGTATTTTATTTCAATCTTGCATGGTCGGGGCATATTAAGATCGAGAAACTTTGTCTCCTAAACGCCACTAGCTGGCGATAAGTGTAAAACACCAAGTGTTTCGTGCAAATAAAAGTTATGTACTTGGGTGTTAGGGTGTTAAGCTACTAATGTTATTGCGTGTTAGGATATTAGGGTACTAGGGTACTAGGGTATTGGGGTACTAGGTTACTAGGGTATTAGGGTATTAGGGTACTAGGGTATTAGGGTACAAGGGTTTTCGGGTATTAGGGTATTACGGTGTTAGGGTGTTAGGGTATTAGGCTACTATGATATTAGAGTATTAGGGTACAAGGGGGTTAGGGTGTTAGGGTATTAGGGTATTACGGTACTAAGGTGTTAGGGTATTAGGGTATTAGGGTATTAGGGTATTAGGATGTTAGGGTATTAGCATATTAGAAGATTAGGGTACTAGGGTGTTAGGGTATTAGGGTATTAGGATGTTAGGGTATTAGCATATTAGAAGATTAGGGTACTAGGGTGTTAGGGTATTAGGGTATTAGGATGTTAGGGTATTAGCATATTAGAAGATTAGGGTACTAGGGTGTTAGGGTATTAGGGTATTAGGATGTTAGGGTATTAGCATNTGAGGGCATGAGGGCATGAGGGCATGAGGGCATGAGGGCATGAGGGCATGAGGGCATGAGGGCATGAGGGCATGAGGGCATGAGGGTATTGGAGGCTCGGTGGCCTCATGGTTAGTGCGCTCGACTCCGGATCGAGCGGTCCGCGTTCGAGCCCTGGTCGGGGTCACTGTGTTGTGTTCTTGGGCAAGACAATTAACTCTCACAGTGCCTTTCTCCACCCAGGAGTATAAATGGGTATCGGCAAATTGTTGGGGAAACCTACCAAATTGCGGGGGAGTGACCTGCGATGGACTAGTATCCCGTCCAGGAGGAGTAGAAATACTCCTAGCCGCTTCATGCTACAGAGACCGTAATAAGCTCCGGCAGCTATGAGCCAGTGGCTAAAAGGCTTCACTTTTTACTATTAGGGTATTGGGGTATTCGGGTATTAGGGTATTAGGGTATTAGGGTATTAGAGCCTCTGAAATCACACATAATGTGTCACCCAAATAGTGGAGGTATAGGACAAACGAATATCACTTACCAGGAAATATTTCAGCCAGGTTCACAGGGGGTTTGTTGGTATCTACGGTTAACTGCAAGAAAAATCAAAACAAGCTAGTTTTCTTCAAGGTCTGTTCTTTCACTGCAGGGCTCCTACTCATAGAGCTGGAAGAAAATTTCCTGAATTTTACTCACGAAACGAGGCACCTTTTCACTGCACTTTGCTTTATAACTAGTCTGTGTCTAAAACTCATATTTCTTACCGAAAATAGCAAAAAGACTATGTAATTCAATTGGCATTTCTAGAGAAAAATCTACTTCCAATCTGCATTTTATCAGAGGCACATTGTTGAGTCAAATCTCCTCATATCCAATCAAACAGACGTACTAAAGAACTAAAGGACTACAAAACTCAAACCTAACCTGGAAAACTGAATCACCCACTTCCAGTTACTGGTGAAAAAAATTAAAGTTTTGCCGACGTGGCTCAGGAATTCCCTTTTAGAACTGTTCTCAGCTTTTTTCGAACTTTAAGAACAACTTGGTCTTTTTCCTTTATTTAGCCCCGGACTGAATTTCAGATCTTGAACGGCATTTTTTTTTTTTAATATCTTTTGTTTTAACTTCTCACCTTATGATTAGCATTTTTCACTGGTTGACAACCCTTACAGACCACCGCTAATGGAAAGTGTATATCAGCTTGGGCGACACGCGGAGCTTCTGTGAACAGGATAAGGTAAGGAAAAAAGTTATCAATGAACATCTTATTTACACTCGTCAATAACAGATTCGTTTACGACTGCAATTTACAAAAACCTAAACAAAGTAGCTTTCGTGCTATTGTTTAGACGTTAGAAACATTTAGTGTGTCCGCACATCCTCTATCTTGTCTTGAGTTCGTTGAGATCGCAAGCTTAGCAAAATATAAACCCGGCGCGTGGGATATGAACGAGCCAAAACGCGAGGGGCTGATGCGGGAAAAGAAAAACATTGCACTCGAGGAAAAATATCTAGTACATGTAGCACAAAAATAAACGTGTTTGGACACACTAACACCATTAGAACATTGACATTTTTAACATATCTTATAGCATGGTTTCAAAGGTTACAAGACTTACTAATCCTTTTGAAGAAATGACACTGATGTAACTTAGCAAGTGCCTACAAAAGTTCAATCTCTCCTTAAGAAAGCACAATGGCGGCATCTACAACAAAACGTCGCTTTCCGTAATTCGGCAATGAACTTTATTGTGAATCTTCCGGGTAGTAACTTCCCGCAAAAGTTGTGAAGACTGAACTGAACTAATCTTTTGGATAGATCAAGGAATTACCTGTAACATTTGTTTTTTCCCTTTTCGATGCACTTTTGCACATTTTGGGCGCAAATTTACCTCGGAGTCTGAATAATTGTTTCGGGTATTTTATCCTTCTGGTTTGCTATGCATAAAACTTTATTCCCCTCAGTGTTGGCGGTTTGTGGTGGATATTTACCTCGCCGCTTCGTGGATCGGTAAATATCCACCACTAGCCACCGCCACTGCGGGGAATAATTGTTTTTTAAATATTATAACCTATCACTGAGAAGCGCTAGTCGGTTCTCAGAGATTCACGTCATCAGAATGGAATTTCCCGTATGAATTTTGGACTCCCCTCAAAAGCGTTCAGAAACTGGCACCGAAAAGAGACAAGTGTTTCTTCAGACTAAACTCACCGGAGTTTGTAACGTATGTGGCTGTGACTTGAGCTTTTAACGAACAAGGAATGGAACCACCACGAGAATAAAATGAAATCTCGGCAGACACGGGTTCACTTCTGTCTCCTGAAAAAAAAACACACAAAGGAAAAACATGTAAAAGAAAAGGTTGCTACTATTGATCCCAGACGTTAAGGGAACTATGCCACAACATGTGAATCTTGGCAAATTTAGGATAAACGTTTTACTCACCGATTATGGGGAAGACTATCGATGACCTGTTGCACATGATGGGGGGACTGGAAATGACACTAAGGACAACATTTTCTATCGGACTTGGAGCTTGAGACTTGAGAGTGACCTGGGACGAGAAAGACATCACGTGACACACACTTTGTAACAATGCTGCAAATACAGGCGGTATCTAGTCAGATCAGTCAACTCAAGGTCAAATCGTTACAAGTTAGATCGTTCCACAAAAAAGTCAGTTCCACAATAAAGTTAGACTACGAGTAGTCCCTCTTTCGCTTATTTCACGCGGTCATTTTTTCCGCGCGGTTTATTCACGGTCTCGCTCGACGGACTAAGCGAAAGAGGGACTACTGGTAGTCTACAATTAAGTAAGATCATTCCACTTATAGTTAGATAAAAGATGCAGACAGATAGTCTGATCACTTCACTGATGGCAGACAGACAGACAGACAGACTGATTGACTGATTGACTGATTGACAGATAGACAGCTAGACAGTTGCACACATGGACAAACAATTTATACACTGGTTATGCAACGCTTTTGAGTGGCATACCATGGAATATTCCACGAGTCACTTGTATTTTCACGGCATACACACGAACCCACGAAAGGGCATAACTACTTTATACCACGCCATAGAAAATACAGTGGCCAACACAGTCAAAGCAGCATACGCGCGGCACATGATGGGAAGGTTGGGTTAAACAACTACTTTCCTGTATTCTGATTGGCTGTATTTTCTATGGCATGGAATGATTGTAGATGAGTTTATTTATACACAGGGCTTCTTTTAGAATACAGAAAATGCTAAATTACATGTACGAGTCTCCCTAACTCCACATTCTCAGAGTTATCAATTCTAGGAACTTACATCAACATAAACACAGCAACACATGACAATGTCTGGGTGAGGAGATAAACGACAGCTGTGCATGTATTGATCACGCTAGCAACTACATGTAAGAAGGTTAATGTGTCGCCTTACCGTGACTGTGATTGATGGGAATGACTCGTCACCATCATCAATTGTACTTTGCTGTGAATACAAATAATACACACCCTGTTGCAAGCTGAACAAATCTTCAACCAGTAAATAGATTGTAAAACAGTCACTATTATTCGCTTGAAATATCCATGTGCCATCTGCAAAGTCGCAAGGTTTATGGAGATGGCGACCGCAGCACTGACTTCTATGGAATCAATGTCACATTTCATCCACCAAACTCATGCTGAAATGCAGTCTAACTGGTGCATAAAATGAAACTGAAAAACTACAGGTTACAGTTAGTGAAATACTCAGATAGGACTAAATGAACTGCCCATGACAATAATTGTACTATAGGAGGGTCAAGTGAGTTTAAATGAAGTTTGGTTTCTTCAGGAGCAAGGGAAGTCTGTTTATGACAATTAAGTGTGTCTACATTATAGACTGAGGTATATGTACATGTATGTACTGTTAACAATAGCCGTAATAGGAATTTTGTTTAAAGATATTAAATGATCTATGATACTCGGGTCATGGTATCATTAATAGAAGATTATGCATGATTTCTGAATACACCTGATACGATTTGTAGGTATGAAATAATTATTCAAAAAATTTGCCTGTACAGTGGTCACTTACTGACACAGAATCTAGGCTTGTTGGTATATGCACAGATATGAGAAGGTCTTCTTTTTGTTGTGCTCGCGGTAAAAGTTCTGTAGAAAAGATCCGCAAGATCAAAATAAGCATGATGTTCATGTAAGTACAGCATCAAATACATGTCCATTCAATTATTCCCCAAGGGGAAATAATCCTTTTACCTACCTGAACTAATTGTAGACTCCTTGATTTCTTTTTGCAGCTCTTTCATTTCAACATCAGCCTCCTGAAACCCAAAAACATACCACATAAATTAAAATGTCAAATAAAGATGACATGTTGGCAATTAAATGAGCTACATCACTGTTTGCTCATCTTGAAAAGTTAAGCCTAAATTTTTCAAGTTCATCCGGTTTGTAATCCATGTAAATCTTCTCCATTCATAACCATCCTTGTTCCTTTATGGTTTATTATTATCTATCTGGTGTTTTTCTACCTTAATAACCTACTATTTTCAGGTTTCCTTCAAGTTACAGTAATGTTTTCAATGCCAAAATAAATCAAAATGCTGTGACTGAGCTCCTTTAACATGATGAGACTCTTTACCACTAGGTAGAAAAGGTTTACATGTTTGTGTACATGAAGATGATAATTTTTCAAAAAGACGTGTTCCTGAGATATTAGAGAGGTTAAGCATGACGTTTACGGCAAA